ATCTCTTCCCCAATCCTCTAGTCCATTCCCTCATTCTTCTAGTCTATTCCTCCAATCCTCTGGTCTATTCCCCAAATCCTCGTCTTTTCCCCCATTCCTCTGGTCTATTCCCCCATTCCTATCATCTATTCCCCCATTCCTATCATCTATTCCCCCATTCTTTTAGTCTATTCCCCAAACTTTTATTTAAACACAAACAAATGATGCTGAAAAACAAAAAATGTGGGATTGTTGAATCAGAATAAAAAAAGGGCCAAGCAAAAAATATGAAGTGCGTCTATCTGACTCAAATAATTATTACCTAATGATTCAACAAACTACTGCCTCAAATCACTACTGTCTAAACTACACCGGGTAGATATTTTACATCTATTACAATATACCTCTAACACTAATATGGTCAAAAAGCAAACTAAAACACTGTATCACAATATATCTATCAACCTGTATCAACAGTAAATAGCCCCTTACTGCGACACCCGTGGCTGTGTACACCCTTTACCGCAACACACCTTGACCATGTCACCCTTTACCGCGACTGCCTTTTACCAAGCCACCCTAGACACTATGAAACCTATGCCTTGGTAAACCCTGAAGTCTTGGTAAAACCTGTGTCTTGGTACTTGTCACTCTGTATCATCAGTACGTCGCCCTGGACTGTGATACCCTGTGACTATGCACACTACCCAGTGATACAATTTATTTTGACCATGTACTATAAGGAGTACAGTGGAACCCTAGCTTATTCAGCTTGGTCACTGCTTATCTTTTTAGAGGTGTTCTTTTCACTCCGATCGCCAGAGCAAGAGAGAGCCTTTCATTTGATGGAACCTCTATTTATATACCAAGCCATCTAATGCCTTCTTTCATTAGCCAATCAAAACTACTCTTACTTCCAAATCCCAAAGAAATAAGTAAAGCAAGTCTGTACTATAGATCATTTATTGAACAAGGCAATTACCAAAGAATCAACCGCTTCATTACCATAAATATGGGAAAATTCATCGTTGAGGATAGTCTCATTTGTGTGAAATGCAGGAAGACTGCATCAGAAAGTTAAAGGATCGCAATACACGTGTAAGACATGCTATTCGAAAAATATATATATAATTTTGCCATTCATAGGTGCAGAAAAAACAAAATCAAGATGTGTGTTTTATTAGAAAGCAGGTTACAACATGACACAGGTTTTAGTAATGAAAATTAAATCCTTTCAAAACTTGTTGGTAATGATTGTATGATCTTGTGTTATATACATCATATTATTTGTTTTAAATTCAGAAATAAGCTGAAATAAGCATTTTGTTGAGTCTTTATTGTGAAACGCATGTATCAATAGCCATGTCCTTGAATTTGGCAGTTCACATTAATCTATTCTTAGACACAGGATTCCCATAGAGCTACCTGTGTTATGACGCAGTTCACAGTGGTAGACGCGCAGTAGCGGTCTCAGCTTTGGGGAAATAGGCATAGCAACCCGCCATAGCTCTTTGAGAAAGATCTCTCAAGCACATTAACGCTCTATATTTAAGATGGCTGCCTATATTAGCCATATTAGTTTCCCAATCAGTCCCATAATTCAGTATGCATAACAAACGACATGGGGAACCAGCCTACATGTGAAATTTAAGAAAGGTATACTTAGCACTCTCTGAGAAATAGCGCAAACAAGAAATGTTTAAGGACAGAAAGACCTTGGATAAAGGGTAATTTGAACATAAAACTAAAAACATTACCAAATATAAGTGGGAATCAGTCTTCAATGTTTGCAAATATAAATAAATAAAAAGATTTTTTTTTTATTGCAATTTTACAAATTATTGTAATAACTTCAATGGATTGTATAGTATTCATGCCATCACACTGCAAAACAAGAGGCCCAATGGGCCTGCATCGCTCACCTGGTATAAATCTCACACTTGTAACCTTAAAAGTGATCTAAAATAAAGCTACAGGCAAAATATCAGTATTCATGATTAAAATTCATTCAAAAGACCCTGTGATTTTTTTTTTAAACATTTCACCCCTGTGATTGAAAGTCGAACAAAGTCATTATGTTGAACAAATTTTATAGCCTTTCATCTCAGGATGCAACTTGCAAAGTATCAACATCCTGGGACCCATGGTTATTCAGAAGAGGTCGTTTAAAGATTTTAAACAAATTTGACCCCTGTGACCTTGAATATAAGTCAAAGTCATTCACTTTAACAAACATAGTAGTCCTTGATCCCAGCATGCTACTGACTAAATATCAACATCCTGAGCCTTTTGGTTATTCAGAACAAGTTGTTTAAATATTTTGAACATATTTGCTCCTTGTGACCTTGAATATGATTCAAGGTCATACATTTAAACAAACTTGGTAGCCCTTGATCCTAGTATGCTACTGACTAAATATCATCACCCTGGGCATTTTGGTTATTCAGAAGAAGTTGTTTAATGTTTTTAACATATTTGACCCCTGTGACCTTGAATATGGGTGAAGGTCATGCATTTGAACAAGCTTTGTAGCCCTTCATCTCAGTATGCTTCTGGCCAAATATCATCACCCTGTCGTTTTGGTTATTCAGAAGAAGTTGTTTAATGTTTTTCACACATTTGACCCCCGTGACCTTGAATATAAGTGAAAGTCATTCATTTGAACAAACTTGATAGCCCTTTACCCCAGCATGCTTCTGGCCAAATATCATCACCCTAGGCCTTTTGGTTATTCAGAAGAAGTTGTTTAAAGTAAAAAGTTGACGCAGGCCGGCCGCCGGCCGGACGATGGACGCTGCACCATGCCATAAGCTCACTTGGCCCTTCGGGCCAGGTGAGCTAGTAACGCAATTGCACAGGTCAATTGTAAATCTGTCAATTACCATTTGTACATTGAACAGGCGAGTGGGATTTTTTCAACATCAGCTTCATATATGGCCATAGCAGTAAACAAGAGGCCCATGGGCCTTAACGGTCACCTGAGTCTATAGTATTTATTTTTGTTGTTGAAATATGTACCAATTTGAGTAAAAAATAGTATAATGTTAACTTAACTTTGTCAGGACCATGAGCTGATCATTCCTAGACCAATTTTAAGTGAGATCGGCCTATTAGAACTTAGTAGCAAAATAGCGGCCATGGCAGCCAAATTGTATTTCTGATTGACCCGAAAAATAACAACACTTTGTCAGGACCATGATTCGATCATTCCTACAAAGTTTCAGTTCAATCGGCCAAGTAGATCTTTACTTTAAGTTTGAAATAGTTTACCAAAATGGCAGCTGTGGTGGCCATATTGGATTTCTGATCGACCTGAAAAATAACAACACTTTGTCAGGACCATGAGTCAATCATTCCTACAAAGTTTCAGTTCAATCGGCCTAGCAGAACTTGACTTTAAGTTTGAAATATGTTTTCAAAATGGTGGCCGTGGCGGCCATATTGGATTTATGATTGACCTGAAAAATAACAACACTTTGTCAGGACCATGAGTCGATCATTCCTACAAACTTTAAGTTCAATCGGTCCAGCAGAACTTGACTTTAAGTTTGAAATAGGTTTTCAAAATGGCGGCCGTGGTGGCCATATTGGATTTCTGATCGACCCAAAAAATAACAACACTTTGTCAGGACCATGAGGCGATCATTCCTACCAACTTTCAGTTCAATCGGTCCAGCAGAACTTGACTTTAAGTTTGAAATAGGTTTTCAAAATGGTGGC